TGATCCTTTTCAGCACCTAATAGGTGATCCTTTTGAGCACTGCGTAAAAAAAAGAGCGCCCCAAGACGGCCCAAGAGGGCCCCAAGATGGCCCCAGAGTCGCCCAAGACAGCCCAACAGAGCCCCAAGACGACCCCCACGACTCCAAAATTCGACCCTCCCGCTTGAAGAGTGCCCCAGGAGGCCCCAAGGAGCCCCCAAGAGGCCCCAGGAGGCCCCCAAGAGGCACCCGGCCCAAACGAGGCCTAAAGAGGCCACAAAACAGCCCCGAGGAGGCCCCACAACGGTCCCAAAACGGCTACCGAGAAGCTGCGAAACTGCCTTCACGACGTCCCCGACAGGCCAACCACGAGATCCAAACCAACACCCATGAGGCCTCTGACCCACCACCCAGGGCACGGTGGCGGGAGCAGTGACAGCACTTGTGCACAGCATGTTCCGGCGGGAGCCTTCCGGAACACGCTGCAGGAGGAGGAGGAAGATCAGGAGGAGAGAGAGAGTTGGAGTGGGAGGAGGAGGAGGGGGACGAGGAGGAGGAAGAGGCCTCCAAGACAGCTCCAAGATAGCCGAAGAGGCTTCCAAGAGGGCCCTGGGCGGCCCACGAGGGCTCCAAGGCGGTGCCTGAGGCGCCCACGACGGCCCGAGAGGGCCCCAAGACGGCCCCAAGAGAGGCCCAAGAAGGGAAACACGAACCGAGAATCCGAGCTTCCTACCCCGAGAGGTTCTCGGGAAGTCCCAAGAGGCCCCCAATCGGATCCAACAGGCCCCCAAGAAGCTCCCAAGAGGGCCGACGAGGCTCCAAGAGATCTCCCAAGGTGGCCCCAAGAGGCACAACTCATTGTTTTACGATTGGGCTTTGACGGTTTTTTTATTTGTTTCGGCCTTTTGGCATCCCGATGCTCCAAGACGGCCCAAAAGGCTTCAATACCACCGCTCCCATATAATGGAAGAGGCCTCCAAGAGGGCCCCAAGACGGCCCGCGAGGGCCCCAAGACGGTGCTTGAGGCGCCCAGGACGGCCCGAGAGGGCCCCAAGAGCCCCAAGAGAGGCCGAAGAAGGGGAACGCGATCCAACAGAAGAGCGTTCCCCCCAAAAGGCCCACAGGAGGCCGCAAGAGGCCCCCAAGTGGTCCGACGAGGACCCCAACAGCTTCCCGAGGGCCTACAAGGCCCCTAGGAGACGTCCAAGAGGCTTTAAAATAGCCCAAGAGTGCCCTCGATGCGTCAAAACTGCTTCCAGGAATTGGGCATCCACGCAGCCAAGACGGCCAATGACGGCTTCAGATTGCATAACCGATGCCCCCAAGGGACCCTCAGACGCCCCCCCAAGAAGCACCCAAGAGGTGCCTCCAACAGCCAGTTGACGAAGCATGCGGAACACCCCAGAAGCTCCTCAGATGCCGTCGCGCGCCTGTGCTTGATAGCGTTGTCCAAGATCGTCCAGGGCCCCCCCGGCCTGGGCTAGAACCTGAGCGCGCTCTCAGGATGGCCTGGACAGTATGCCCGGGCCCGGGCATATTGTCCTGGGTCCCGAATAGATGAGAATCTAACCCAAATCCACAATTCCCGGATTCCTTGGGGCCTTCGGAGACTCCGCGAAAACGTTAAGAAGCCGGGAGGCGCGGTACCGACCAGATGTCAGGGGATATGTAGGACCCCCGAGTAGGAGTTCCACTTTGATGAAAAAAAGGAATTCTTGGAATTCCTTTTCTTTTTTCCCAAATCGTCGATCTTTGAGGGCTGGAAGCGGGAAAACGTGAGAAGGCGAAAAACATAGGAAAAACAATGGAACATCAACGATTTTACCCTCTTTGGTCTCTCTCGGGACGGCTCTCGCAGCTCTCTTGGGCTGTTGTTGGAGCCTCGTCGGGGTCTCTCTGGGGCCTCTCAAGGATGGGGGGGGTGTTGGGGGCCTCTGGGGGGTCCCGGAGGCCTCTCGGAGGTCTCTGGAAGCCTCCTGCTCCCGCTCTTGGGCCCATCTTGGGCCTGTTCTGGGGTGGTCTGGGGCTGTGCTGGGCGCCTCTTCGGCAGTCTTGGAGCCTTCTTGGCCCGTCTTGGGGCCGTCTTGAGGGTCTCTTGGGTGGTCTTGGGCCGGTCTTGGGAGGTTCTTCGGCGCTCTTGGACCGTTGGAAGCTCGAAAACGCGAGAAGCCAAAAACATTGAAAAGACCATTGAACATATACGACTTTGGCCTCTTCGGGCCGTACCGTCATACCCATCAGACTTCTTGGGGTCTCTTGGAGGCCACCTGGGAGCCTCGAGAGCCGTCGGAAGGCTGATTTGGGCTGCTCGGGAGCGTCTTGGGCCATCCTTTCGCATTCTGGGGGCTCCTGGGGGGCGTCTTGGGCTCTCCTGGAGCGCTGTGGACGCTCCCCGGAAAGGCTGGGGGAGCGGTGCCGGGAGCGTCCCCGAGATGTGGCCATATTTTTTCAGCACGTTCCGGGAGCATCTTCCCGGAATGCGCTCGTTGCAGGGCGCCCACGTCCGAGGACGTTGGCATGGGAAACCGCAGCGAGTGATCATTCCAGCGTGTTCCGGCGAGTGGCGGAGGGGGGAAGGGGGAACGAGTGCACTGCCGCTGCCACGGAGAGGAGGAGGAGGAGGAGGAGGAGGAGGAGGAGGAGGAGGAGGAGGAGGAGGAGGAGGAGGAGACCAAGGACAGGGGGACGAAAGAATCGATGACGAGACCATTCGACATTGCAGTCGCCAGCGTCTGCGCTATAACCTAAGCGCGCGCGCGAAGCGCGCGAGTGGTTCTAGTATACATATTTATGTGTACACACACATCGATATACATATATATATATACATATATATATATATATATATATATATATATATATATATCCTGGCGCAGGTGAGTCCTACCGCTGCTCTTGGAGCCTAGCCAGCCCGCCTCTGGCACTCCTGCCCGTGGGAGGTCACCGCTGGCCGATCTCGCATTGGCCGCTTCTCGCGCCGCCGACTCCGAGGAGCTCTGCCTGGGCCCCCGAGCGGAGCGGGCCCCGCCGCCTTGCCCTGGGGCCCGGGGGCCCCGACGCCCCGACGCCCCGCAGGAGCGAGAGGGTTGGTTTCGAGAGGGTACGCATTGCGCGAAGCTTCGCATCACGCGGCCGGTCTCGCAGATGGGGGGACCGTCGTCACGTAAGTGGGTGAGGCAACTCGGCTTTTGCGCGGCCCGCTCGGACCTGACTCGCCGCCGGCGCCCTCGCCTGCGGCTGCGACAACAAAATGTCTGTGGGTGAGCGCGGACGTCCTCCGTGGGCTCCCTATCGGAGGAGGGCACAGCGGCGGCGGCGGCCCTCCGGCCCAGCCCCAGAACCGCCCGAGCGGTCGGCGGGGGCGTCCTCAAGAGTCTGCAGTCGGGCTACTGTGGATCAGGGACGGAGGCCCTCTTCGGCACCAGAAGTGCCTGGGTGCTCCAGTCGGCCACGCGCAGAGAGGGGGCCAGGGGGAGGGGGGAAGGCTGCTTAGAAGCACCCCTGCTTCTTGGAAGGCGCTGGCCTTCTCCATAGATGTAAGGCCGGGGCCTTCTAGGAAGCAGGGTGCTTCTAACAAGCCTTCCCCCCTACCCCTATATACCCCCTTTTGCGCGCCGCCAAGCCAGGAGTTTCAAAGAACAGCCACTCAATGATCTGACGAAGAGCGAGCCCTTCTTCCCGAGCCCGAAGCGGTCCTCGTGGTTCAGCGCCTTGGCTGAAGGCCTCCCAGCTGGGGTCCGAGCAGATGGGGTCGAAGGATCGCCCCGCACTGACGGTGCATCGACGATCGTCGTCGTCGCCGTCGTCGTCGTCGTCGTCGTCGTCGTCGTCGCCGTCTATGGTATCGAGCAGCATGGGTCCAGCAACGAAGCCTTCGGAGGCCTTCATGGCGAGTGGGCTGACAAGCAGCGTGAGTCACTTCATTCTGGGCCCGATCTGTTGCATGCCCCTCTCTGGGAAATGCAGCAGATACATGGTCACACTCATGGTCCCCCCACGAATGGAGCCAGACGTTATCCCCTGCAGCGCACGATGACGCCGATGCGCCGCCGGTGTCGCCGATGCACCGCCGATGCATGGGCGATGCACTGGCGATGCGGCGCGACCCTCCGACCCCATCTGCTTGGACCCCATCTGGGAGGCCTCTACAGCGATGCTGCTCCCATCGTGCACAAGGACCACATCCCAGAAATGACTTCGAGCACCCCGAACAGTGTCGAAGGAGTGTCGAAAGAGTGTCGAAGCAGTGACGAGCGAGGGTCCCCCAGGGCCCGACACGGGAAAGCCCTCGAGTTCCGGTGCCCTCTTCGTGTTCGAGCTTCCCGCTGGCAGGTCAGGCTAGAATAGGGGGCAAACAAACCGACCCCGTTTTTGACCACCCTCGCTTCCAAGAGATACCACGCGATGCCAAACCACGGCCTGCACTGGTCAGGCCTCTTGACGAGGAGGCGCGTGGCATGACTTGGTTTTGCCTGGAAGCGAACGCGGGGTAGGCAATTCACGCTCTGACAGAGGAGGTTGGAGCATCGTAACTCGGGGAGGTCATGGCGGGGGCTTCTGGCAGTGCGCCTCCCGGAGGAGGAGGAGGAGGAGGAGGAGGAGGTGGAGGAGGTCCCTCCCCCCTCGGCCGCGCACGTCGGCCTCGGGGCCCACGGGGAGAGCCGCCGACGAGGCGAGGAGGAGTGGGCCACCGCGGCGCCCCTCGCGGCCCGGACGTGGCCGCTCGTCCCTCCTCCTCCTCCTCCTCCTCCTCCTCGTCCTCCTCCTCCTCCTCCTCCTCGTCGTCGTCAGCCTCATCAGCATCCTCTGCATCATTGTCAGCAGCACCATCATCGTCGTCATCATCATCAGCAGCAGCACCACCACCACCATCATCAGCAGCACCATCATCAGCAGCATCAGCAGCAGCAGCACCATCAGCAGCAGCACCACCGTCGTCGTATTGTGATCGGCATCGTCGTCGTCGTCGTCAGCATCGGCATCGTCGTCGTCGTCGTCGTCGTCGGCGTCGTCGTCGCGAGGAGCAGCTCGCCGCCTGGCGCGGCGTGGACGCTCCCGGCGGCGGGGCCGCGGCCGGGGAGGGCCGCGCCGCGGCGCTGCGGAGGCTGGAGGGCCTGCTGTCCGAGGCGCCGCGGCCGCCCCAGCAGGGGAGGTGGGCTGCAGGCAAAACTTTAGGAGGGAAAGAACACACAGACACAATTAGTTGTCGATTCCCGAGACAACATGGGAAAATATGGGAAGTGGGGGGGAAGACAAAAACCGAGAAAATATAGGAAAATATGGGGATTATTTTTATTTGTGTGTATTTATTTGTGTGTACCAGGGCCCCTTAAAAACTTGCAGTATGGACCCGCAGGCCTACCGGTTGACACCAACACCAAGATCGGCGGTGTGCCTCTGCCGAGGGAAGGCGATCCCGACCTCGGCGATGGCGGTGCTATTCCGGCTTCCAGGGTGGCTGGAATATCGCCACCAACACCGAAATCTAGGATTATCTTCCCCTTGTGGCGGTTTTCACTGGCCAGCCTTTCAGGGTGTTGGCAGTCCGCCGCCCAGAAAGGGCCAACTTCGGCGTTCAAGGCTTTTGCGCCCTTACCGCCGACAAGGTTCGGGCGTCCTCTCGAATGTATGATATCTTACGGAAGAGACGTCTCAAGTAGGCTTGTCCAAGAGGGGTTGTCTGGTGGGGTTGTTCAAATCCCCGTTGGGTTGTCCAAAGGGTTGTCCGGAGCAGGTCGTCTTCTCGTCATCTAACAGCACGGGTTGCCCGGGTTGTCCTGGAGGTTGTCCGAGTGCCATTGTACATCCTACCGCAGCTTCAGGTCAGGAGACACTGGCACCGATTGCCGCTACACTTCCCTCGTCTTCGCCTTTTCGGGCCTCCTGGGAGGCCCTCGTCGCAACGGCTGGGTTCGCCTAAGAATCATAGTCAGAACGCATCCCGTGAGAGGTTCTGCTTACCAGCCTGGAACATATCCCTATCCCTATGCTGGGCACCTCCTCATCACGATGCCAATCTTAGGGATTCCCTGATTTTCTGAGGGCGAACCCCTGAGATTGTCATCGCCTTTTGGCGTGTCAATCTTAGGGATAGGGATACGTTCGAGGCTGGTAATCTGCGAGCAGCGGCATCGGCAGCTCGTGGTCTCCGCACGAGGGGGGAGGCGCCAGGGGCTGGTCGGTCCGACCCGGGCCGCCATCGTCGGGCCGCGCTGGCACGGTGTCTTCGTCGCTCTCCGGCCCGTGGTCGGCGTCCTCTGCTCTGGGGTGGGGCAGGGGGAGGGGGCATGAGGAGGAAGGAGGGAGGAGGAGGATGAGGAGGAGGAGGAGGAGGAGGCAGGAGGAGGAGGAGGAGGAGGAGGAGGAGAGGAGGAGGAGGAGGAGAGGAGAGGAGGAGAGGAGGAAGGAGGAGAGAGAGGAGGAGGAGAGGAGGAGGAGAGGAGGAGGCAGGCAGGAGAAGAGGAGGAGGAGGAGGAGGAGGAGGCGAGGAGGAGGAGGCAGGCGGCCCAGGAGGCACCCCCACTGCCTCTGCAGTTCTCCTTCTCTCCGCCCTGCCCTGGGCCCAGCAGTCTCGGGTTCAGCTGCTGCTCGGCCTTGAACTGGCGATGGTGCTGCGATTGCAGGTGACGGGGGATGTAGAGGAGGGACGGCGGAGGGCGGAAGAGGAAGGCAGGAGGAGGAAGGCAGGAGGAGGAGGAGGAGGTGGAGGAGGAGGAGGAGGAGGAGGAGGTGGAGGATGGGGATAAGGACTGTAGCGAGAAGCTCTACATGAGCGGGGGAGGCGGCATCGGGAAGGATGAGGGGGATGACGATGAACTGGGAGAAAGGAGGTGGGACGGAGGGGTGGGCGGTGGGACGAGCGAGTGAGCAAACGAGGGAGGGAGAAGGGAACACGGAGGAGGACAAGGAAGGTTTAGGAGGTGCAGGAGGACAGAGAACGGAGGACGGATGGGGTACAGGAGGCAGAGGAGGAGCAGAAGGGGGAGGATGGATGAGGAGAAGGGGGGAAAGCAGGAAACGCAGCAAGGAAATTGATTGGATAGAGGGAACATACAGGATAAAGAGGGATGAGGTAACCCGCCTTTTCTCCACTGCTGCTGCTCCTCCACCCTCTGCGTTTGCTGTTGCTGCCAATGTTGCTCTTCCCCCTCCGCCACCGCAAGTGACACAAAATGATGGCCCTTGTCCGATGACACACGTAGATCACTAGTCACCTATGCTGGGACATGCTCCCCCAATTGTTTCATGCATGGGATCATTTTTCCAATTGAGGCTTGGGTGCAATATTAGAATGATACCCAGAGGTGACTCTACCTGGGCCAGCTTTGCTTGCGCCACGGTTGATGGTTGACGCATGAGCTACGAGTGATCTGTGCTATCTCTTTCTTGGCACTCGGGTCTTCTCTTTACACTTGCGTTTGCTTGATATGCTTATGCTTGCGGACGGGCCCCACGGTGGGCAACATGCCAGAGGGAGAGGGGAGCAGAGAGAGGGTGGCAGGGACGAGGCAGAGGAATGACCAGGAGCAGGATGAGGAAACGGAGGGGGATGAGGAGGACGGGCACGTCGCAAGGGGAGGGGGAGGATACAGGAGAAGGCAGAGAGAGGTGGATCTGCGCAGTGATGTCCGAGGATCAGCGCTTCCTCCTGCGCGGATCCCTCAAGACCGAGAAGGTGCTGCAGACCCTCCAGGGCGCCAGCGTCGACCCCAAGGCGATGCCGAGCGCCGCCGGGGGGGGGGGGGGCAGAGCGCGCGTGGGAGGATGAGGAGAACGAGGAGAAGGGACTCTTCTGTGGTCCTCGTCCCCCCCATGTGGCCCTCTGGGACTCTTCTGTGGTCCCTCTGCACTTCCAGCAGGACCCTCTGGCGAAACGCTGTTCGGGAAACATGGCGTAAGCACCAGCGGCCGGAGCTCCGCGCGGATTTCTTGGCTCTGCGCTGGATCCCCCTGGCGGCGCCTCCTCCTCCTCCTCCTCCTCCTCCTCCTCCTCCTCCTCCATCCTCCTCCTCCTCCTCCTCCGAGCGCTCCGCGCGCAGGGGAGGGGGGGTTTCCGCTCCGGCGTGCTCCTGGTGCGCCCCGCGCCCGGGTCCAAGAACTCCGCGCGGACCTCCAAAAGTTGGTGTTTGTGCTATTCAGGAGGGAAAGAAACACGCAGACACAATTAATCGGCGATTAAAATATTGGAAAATATGGGCAGTGGGGGGGAAGACAAAAACCCAGAAAATATGGGAAAATATGGAAGATAATTTTATTTGTGTGTATTTATTTGTGTGTCCCAGTTCTCCTTCAGCTATTTTATGTTCCTCCAGGGGCAGGGCCCAGACAGCCGGCGTCGCGTTGCTGTTCACCACGTGGCCCCCCTTGGCGGTTTGGACCCTTTCCCAGGGCAAGGACCGCTTGTTCTTCCCGGGTCTTTCTGACGGTCGCAGGGGCCCGGTGAGGACCCCCAGAGGCCGAAAATCGCCGACAATCGTCCGTCGTGATGATCCACGACGCAGGGATCGAGCATGCTGCGCATGGCCTGACATGGAATAATGAATAATGAATTGACCGGCCGTGATGAGGCGGGTGCTCACCTCGAGGACCACTATGATGCGAATCCGGCCTCGAACTCCGTCGAAAAGGATCCTGTGTGCGAAGGCCTGTGATGGTCTTTGCCAGCATGAGCCTTCCGCACTGGGGAAGGACGAGGAGGAGGAGGAGCCAGTGGGAGGGCGAGGAGAAGAGGCTCAGGAGCAGAGAGGGCCGCCCGAGGAGGGGGGGGGGGCGAGGAGGAGGGCCGTCCGAGGAGCCGGGCGCGCCGCCTGTCTGGAGGCGAGGGGCCGCCGCGTGCTGTTCCCGAGGGGGCGCGGCCGGCGGCAGAGGCGCTGCGGCGGGAAGGTGCCGCTGCGATTCCCCCCCCGCGGAAGCGGCGCCGCTCGCGTCGCGCCTGTCGCCCTCCATAGGGGGCCACGTGCGAACCCTGCCCCTACCCCCCACGATTTTTGAGGGGGCGGGGGTTCACTTCGTGCGGGAGCTCCCGAGCGAAGTGAAGCCCACCCTCCCCCTCAGAAATCGTGGGGGGTAGGGGCAGGGTTCGCACGTGGCCCCCTACTCCAGCTGACGGCCGGGTGTCGGCGCTGATCACGGGCGCCGCCGTCGTGTGTGCTACTCTGGCGGGCGTCCCGCCGCGATGCGCCCGAGCAGGGCGAGCAGCTGTTGGATCGCGCGCTTGGCTTGCTGCTGGTAAGCACACGCTGACCTTGCTAGGCGCCGTGGTCTTGATGCTGCAGCCGCCGCATCGCTGCCGATGCTGCGCAGCGCGGCCTCGTACGCTTGCTGGTGCATCGTCGATCGCGTGGTCACCCTTATGATCCCAAGTTCGTTATACATCTATCTATATAAATATTTCTGCATCGCACGCTTCACGCTCCTCTTGTTCCCTTGCCCATCCCTGCATGTTTGTTGCCGTCAATGAACATTCGATCTGCTTGCTGCGCACGCAAAACAAAGTGGAAGCAGGAGGAGGAGGAGGAAGAGGAGGAGGAGGAGGGTGGACCCAAGCAGATGAAACAGCACCAGCCTGACCATGTGAGGACAGGCGCCAGAGCCTGGGCTGGGTCGCGCTTGGGTGTTCGATGACGCCCTTGGCCCCGAGGAGAAGCCCTCGCGAATGCGGTGGCCCGGCCGAGGGGGTGCACCAGAGCAGCCTGGCAGGACCTTGACATCCGCCGGCTTGATCTTTACAGTCCGCGGCCCCAGAAGTCCCGACCGCTTCCCCCGGGGGTAGTTGCTTCGTCCCGGGTCCCGTCTCCGTGGTTCCGGGGCTTGACAGTGAGGAGCCCCAGCGGCCAGGCCGACACCGAGGACGACGACCCGACTGCGCAAATCAGACCGTTGGAGTTTTTTGGGGCGCGATCGCGGGCCGCCTGCCTTGCCACGCCTGGTGCTCTCCTCGCGCGTAAGCGCGGGCGCCTGCCTTGGCCGCCTTGCTCTCTTCCCGACCCCGTCGTCCGTCGTCCGTCGTCCGTCGTCCGTCGTCCGTCGTTCGTCGTCGTCGTCGTCGTCGTCGTCGTCGTCGTCGTCGTCGTCGTCGTCGTCGTCGGCGTCGGCGTCGGCGTCGGCGTCGGCGTCTGCGTCGGCGTCGGCGTCGGCGTCGGCGTCGGCGCCGAGCGCGAAAAGGCCACCGAGCCGAGAGCAGCGTTGAGCGCGGCGGCGGCGGCGGCGAGGCGACGGCGAGGCCCTTCGCGGCGCCGCGGCCCGTCGGCTGGCCGCCCGGTGCCGCCCACGAGGCGCACACGTGCGTGCACGTGTGGATCGAGGGCCGCGGCATCGGGTCCGAGGCGCGGATGCCCGCGGGGACTCGCTGCCCCAACGCACCCCGCCTTGTGTCGGTGGAAGGTGTTATCCACGGATCGTCCAGCCTGTCACCTCGAGATATCCTCACGACACTTCCAGGTCTCTCCAGTCCTCCAGGAGGTAAGCGGAGTCCTGGGCTCGCCAGAGCTGATACCATATCTCCGACTGGAGGTGAGGGTCGGGAGCGAGAAAGCAAGTATTTTACACAGATATCCAGGATATCGTCGCATCAGTACAGGTCCCCCTGAGCTTCGGACCTAAGTGTGAAAATAGCCTGGCTCCAGGCCCTGATCTGGTCTGGCCCAGATGGCTGCGGAGCGGGCACAGGCAGGGAACCCTCATTCACTGTTGGTTGACATCTTCTCAAATCTGAGCTCTGAGATTTGTCCTGTTGAGGCCCACAAAACTTACACCTTGGCCCCTCTCCCCTAGGGAGCCCCCTCTCCTCTCCCCTCAGTATCGTTTCTCCGACCCCCATCCCCATCCTCATCCCCTTCGAGACCCCCACCAGATTGCCACCCCACTTGGGGATACACCCCTCGAAACCCGAAGGGGATGGCCTATATCCCCATCTAGGGGGGGTACATCGGCCAGTGGGGCCCGGGCCACGCCGCTGGGGATGGGGATCGGCGAAACGATACTCATCCCCGCCCTCTGCCTCCTCGTCCTCCTCCTCCTCCTCCCCCCTCCTCCTCCTCCTCCTCCTCCTCCTCCTCCTCCTCCAGCTGCCATCTGGGCCTAAGATATCGTCAGGGCAGCCCAGACCGCCACCATGCTGTTCCTCGGGCCGAGCAGACAGAAGGGGCGGCGGCCCGCATGATGGCGGCACTCGCAGTTTCTCTCGCTGTGCTCCTCTTCAACCCACTCTCGGCAAAACCCGACAGGCTCGCGGAAATATACGAGGAGGCCAACAATTTTGACATCATGGTGCTAGTGGGGACATCACGCAGACGACGCGACCCAGTCATCACGCATCACCGCTGCGACAACACACGCTATTACGACGCGGGCTGGCAACCAGGAAAACTTACCAACCGCAGCACGGGCATCATCATCGCGTTGCAGGGACGACTGCGAGGGGCTAAGGTGATCGATATCCAGGAACCGACGCCCGAGCTCAGTGGAAGAGGCCTCGCGATCACCCTGCAGCATCACGACCAGACGCTGCTGATCATAGGATACGACAGTCCGCCGCAACCCAACAAGGGCAAGACGATCAGGAAAGAGTACTACGCTACGACGAGCAGATTGTTCAATTGGATAGAAGAGACCAGCAAACGGAAGCACAGACACACGATACTCATCGTGGCGGGCGACCTCAGCGACGGCATCGGCATCACACAGAAAGGAGGACGACCAGATACACCAGCACTCGGAGAAGGCAGATCGCCCGAACGACTACCAGGCGGCGCTGGACAGAAGGCTCGCATCTACGCCGACCGCTACGACCTCAGCGTGGTGAACACGCTCGGGCAATGGCGTCCCACATATTTCGGAGAGAAGAACGCGAGCTGCATCGACTACATCATGATACCGAGGAGCATGACCGAGACAATGATATCTCAAGGACCCTTGCTCAGGATGGGAACGCGCTTACAACACATACGCTGCCGATCTAGACGAGACCACGTTCCAGTGCAGGTGACCTTTCGGCTTTCTCTACGGCAACAAGTACGGCAGCGACCTCAGCTACCAAGGTGGGACAAGGACAGCCTCGCACTCGCAGTACGACACGGACTGCACAGAGGAGAATACATCAAGAAGGTAGAGCAACCGATAGAGGACTACGACCCGGCAGGACAGGGAGTCGATCAGCTTTTCACGGACATCAATACCATCCTCGTAGAGACAGCCCAACAGTACTACAGCCAGGCGCCGAAACCGACCGACGACTACGAGAGGCTCCGCAACGAGCGCATGCAGCTACTAAGACAACGCAGAGCAGCCCGTTCAGTACTTCACGAATTACACGCCGCTCATCATGAGGCTAACCGCACGCCAGCTCCCGAATCGTCGCCTCCCCCGTTTTGCGCGGACGTGCTCGAATCCAGGGGCCCTCCAGGGACGGTCGCCGACCCGCCCGGGACCCAGGAAGAGAGAGAGCTGGAAGGCAACCCATGCGCCACAGACGAACAACCGATCACGGAGACCGAGCAGCGCATGCGCGAGATAGAGAAAAAACTGCAGGGCATCGCGAAGACATGCCAACGACAACGACGACACGCACAGCAACTACGCACAGAGCAACGAGTCGAGGAACTATACGAGGCGTGGGAGGAAAGGGGCTTGGCAAGAGTTGGAAGACTATCACGATTGATCGCGGGGGGAAGATGCGGACCACGCAAGAGGGACTTCTGGACGGCTACGACGGCGAACCCCACGAAGCAGGAATGGCTCGATTTTTGGCAACTACCAGGCGGCTCAGGCGGCATGGAAGGCACCGAGCAGGACACGCAGCACCTGGAGGCCATCCCGCACAACGCCGAGGAGAAGGACTACGACGAGGATGACTTGGAGGAAAAGATAGAGGAAGACTACAACGAGATTGCCAAAAGCCTCAAACGAGCACGCCTACGACGAGCAGCACCACCAACTGCGGCACCAGCGGAGATATGGCGACTACTACTTTGCCCACCGAAGGCGGAACACCAACCACGCCAACGACACGGCCTCGGACATCACGAGGGAGATGGAGAACCCGAACAGTTCCAAGCAGTATTGAAGGCGGCATTGGCCGCGATACGCATCAGCAACGCGGCGCCAGTTCGATGGCATCAAAGCACGGCGACGGCGGTTAAGAAGAACACGAAGAAATGACCAGCAGGCAAGCGAATCTACCACATCATGGACCCCATCGGCAAGGCATACTGCTGCGGGACTCAGGAGGCACCGACAACAAGCCCACACGGACCAGGACCACGGGTTCATCAGGGGGCGACGACGAGAAGGAGCCATCCTCACCATGTCAGTCATCGAGTACAGGGCTCGCAACGCAGGCTACAATTACGCGTCGACCATGAAGGACATGTCAAACGCGTTCGCCAGCTGCAAGTGGCTTACCATGGACGCGGCCAGCAGCAACATCACGCCGCAGGACCTCTGGGACCTCGGAGAACAACGATACCGCAGGGCGACGTTCAACATTGATTGCAGAGACGACACGCAGGGAATATGCATCAAGCCCCACTGCGGCGGCCTCATCGGCGACCCCTATATGGTGCGCAACTTCGTAGCCAGCTTCGCCCCTTGCATCCAGAGGTGGACCCAGGACTGCAACGACGAGATAGAGTACGACGAGTTACTGTATGGAAGAAGTGAACTGTTCCAACATCCAGCATGCGTGGGGCTGACGAAGTACGCGGACGACATACGCAAGATCATCTTGAACGGGAAACAGGCCCATCCCAAACTGCTCGCCGACCAGGCTCACAAGATAGACGACACGCTGAACAGACGCCTGAGCGAGATCGGCCTGAAGCAAAACCAAGATAGGCAGGAGACGATAGTACACCTTCAGGGAGAAGGCGCCATCCAGGCGCGTCAACGAATCAAGAAGGACCCGCAATGCAAACTTCCAGGCAAAGTGGTGGCGGTGGCTCGGCACCTGGGCCCTCAAGTAACATCGACGCAGAGCTACTACCCAGAGTTGCAGAAGCGTGTCCAGGCCATGAAGAAGAACTACTACGAGTGCGGCAGGTTCTGGACCAAGCGAGAAATACCCTACAAGTGGAAGCGCGCGGTCCTCATATGCAGGGTCATCAACACGGGGCTTTCGTGCATCGAGTGCTACTTGCCCACGCCCAACGAGTACCAGATGCTCCAGAGCGCGATGGGCGCCCTCCTGAGACGGGCGATGGCCGGCCGAGCCAGCACGCGCAGCGAGGACGGCTCGGTGCGTAGTTTGACAACGCTGGAGGTCTTCCGCTACTGGCAGATCCTTCCTCCAGCGGAGGAGGCACTGGTCCGCAGACTTGGCTGGACAAAAAACATATTGAGATTCCCGAACAATCGCCGCCAACTCATCGTCGCCTTGTTCGGACGCCTTCAATTCGAGACCAACGATGACGGCGCGACAGACGAGCTGACGACGCACGCGAACCCCTGGGCCCGACGAATCGAGGAGGATGTCACGAAGGCCTGCCAAGTCTCGGAGAGCTTCAGAAACATCTTCGGGGAAGAGCAGGTCAAGATAGGTAAGATGTTCACGCTAGTGATTAGAGAACAACTGCACCTACTAGACGTGCGCGAGGTCAGAGCAGCCAAATTGACGGTAGCAGTTCCTCCTCCAGGCTATACTCCCGACGACGAACTCCGAGAAGACTTAGCCCTTCAGGACCTCCAGCCGTGGAAGTGCTCGCTCGGGGACGATCCTGGGGAATGCGGACTACTGTTCGCGAGCAAAAAAAGCATTGCACAGTCATGTTATTCGGAATCATAACGTTCACAATTTAGCCGCTCTATTAACTACGAACAACGAGTGCATCAATTGCTACCAGTGCTTCACGAGCCGTGGAACAGCCTGGAAACACCTGGCCAGGAGTTTGATCACGGGCAGCTGTAACCCAGATAGGACACGAAACCAGAGCCAGCCGACTAAACCGAGCACGAAATGTCCTCTCTGCAGCCATCTCTTCTTAGACAAGGGCGCCTTCTTCGCACACCGGTGCACGCATCTGCCCAGACCACTACTGCGACCTCAGGCACGGGATGGCGCTCTTCGACCAGCGCCCAGCCTGGGCGCCAGCGGCGGCGGCAGGATGACCTCAGCGACCAGACCGCAGTCGACAACCACGACGAGCTGCCGCAGGAGGAGCACCAGTGGGAGGAGGAACAGCGGTGGCCAACCCGCACATAGTGGACCTCGCGGCACGCCTCGCCCTCACGCTGGCGCGCGAGCAGGCCGAGCTGGCGTCGGCAGTCATCCAGACGTGGGAGATCAGCGCGCAGAGCGGCATCGCGCAGGCGGGCTTACAGGCGGGCCAGACGTACAACGACGACGCGCAGGACTTGCGACGCAGAGCAGCAGAAGGATAACACGTGGACACGGCCTCGCTCGGCAGCCCCCACATCCGCGTGTGGACCGAAGTCGCGAACTACATGGGGCGCACGCACGACGCAGGAGCGGAGAAAGACTACCTCGAGAAGTACTACAAGGACGTCATCTTGAGTGGCAGCGCGGAGAAGGTAGCAGACGGCATCCCGATCTTCCGCGCTCGCAGGAACAAGGGCAAGGAGGGGGGCGCCACGGATAAGTGCAGGTTCCAGTTCCAGGTGAAGGCAACGGACACGCAGCTGGGGACGATCCTCACGCGCGCCCTCCGCAAGGAGGGAGCGAGCCGCAAGATCGGGGCGGCGCCACGTGGAGCACTGGAGCGAGAACTGGGACGTCTCGTCAACAGCTGAGCCAGAACGACACGGAGAGAGGAGCGGCGCATAGCGATGTGACTGAGCGGACGGTGCGGCTCTGTTCTGTCCCAGCGAGCGCGACCCCTCAGGCCATCCCGCGAACTTCTCTCACCAGCGCACGATTCCACGAGCTGGTCAGGGAAGGCTGCTTCCCCCATCCTCCGCCTCCGACTGGGACTCCCGACCTTCTCCAACTCCGAGGCCCGAGTTTTCCCAATTATTTTGTTGTGCACCGACCTCCCCCGCCCCCACCTGAACCGAAGCGAAAGGGTAGGGGAAAGGGGCGAGGCGGACGAGGCAGGGGAGTAGAGGAGACGGCGAGAGGGCACTCGTAAAAGCGGGTGCTACCCTGCCCGCAGACCCCTGCGTGGGGAAGGTCTGTGCAGGTAGGGCCCGAGCGTCTAAGTGGCGCCCGCGACCCCCTTTCAGCAAAGTGACCTCAGCTAGGCCACACAACTTTAGTAAGCAGCACAGCGCGTAGCGAGAGTGCAGCACCGAACCGGCCCGAGAGCTCGATCGATCGATCCTCCTCCTCCTCCTCCTCCTCCTCCTCCTCCCCCTCCTTCCCCTCCTCCTCCTCCTCCTCCTCCTCCTCCTCCTCCTCCTCCTCCTCCTCCTCCCCCTCCCCCTCTCCTCTCCTCCTCCTCCCCTCCTCCTCCTCTCTCCTTTTCCTCCTCCTCCTCCTCCTCCTCCTCCTCCTCCTCCTCCTCCTCCTCCTCCCCCAGGGAGCCTCCCCTCCCCTCCCCTCCCTCTGCCTCCTCGTCCCCGCCTCCCTGTCTTGGGCGCTGGCCAGACTTCCGAGCAGCGGGGCTCTGGCAGCATCCAGGGGTGGTATCACAAACGAGCAACACAATTGACCCATCAGTTCGTTGAGCAATTCGGCAGTCACGAGCTTGCGGCGAAAGTCCTGGAAGGTGGAGCCGATCTTATGCCACAAGATTGCCCACGTCGACGATGGCGCGCTCGGTGCTGTTGTGGTCGTTGGCGGCCACATTGGTGGTGGCGGCGGCCTTATCCATCAAGAGAAGGGTTCGCTTTGTCAAAACCCGCATGATCTCGGAGCTGACGAACGAGCAACACACACCCATACCCATAGGGGGAATGTTGGGAGGAGGACTGGCTATGGGTATGGGTGCGATTGTCGGACCCTGGGGAACGCTCCCGCTCGAGCGGGGACCCCCATTCGACAACACGCACCCGTAGCCCTCTCCGACCCCCCTACGGGTATGGGTGTGTGTGTGTGTGTTGTTGGCTCGTCATGGTAATCGGTGCAGCAGCGGGCGGAGCCGACCGAGGCGCGGCGGCCTGCGCATGTTGGGCCCAGGTGGGCGCAGCAGAAGAAAGGGAAGGCAGAGTGAGAAGAAAGGATTGGTGCGAAGGCCCGTTCGGGCACACGCTGCGTGCCCACCCGTTCCGGGAGGGAAGGATGGAGGAGGTGGAGGTGGCCACGTGGAGGGTGTTGTGCCCCTTCTCTCCCTCCCCCTCGTCCTCCGCCTTCCCATCCCCCTGCAGGCGTCAGCAGGGACGCAATCCGCCCGTGACGCCACTTGCACAGACACGGCAAACCCCGTAGCGACGAATCGCGAGAATGGGGATCGATGTTCGGGCATTTGTCCCAACCCAGAGCATACATAATCTAACATAAAGTGTTGCTTGATTTTTTCCGGGAAAGGCCCCTCCTGTTTCTTCGTCCTCGTCCTTTTTCCGGGAACTATCCCTCCCCCTCGCACTGGCCCAAAATATTCGAGTATAGTTCGGTCTTAGAGCACCTCAG